CTGCTTGCGCTGGAGGTCGACCTGACTGGTCGCTAGGCTGCTAGGTTCCAGATGTAAACACTTTGCCATTGCTACTTTGCATCCTGTATTCTCAACTTTTGCCATTGAAACTCATGCAGTTTTGCCCTGTGAACGAAGTGCTAGGGAACCCAAGGAACGCTACGATCATTCGTACCGCCCGTGTTTTTCCCATAGTCCAGCTGCGTTGTAAAGTAACTCTTCGCATGGTGTGGTGAGCGTGGACGGCCCTACAGGTTACCCTCGGATAAGTAGTTGACTTATCACCTACCTAAGTTGTTCGTAGGCCGGCAGTTCGTGCTGACGTCGGGAGAAGCCAGGCAGTGTAGAGGACACCTTGGAGATGCCATATATTGTATGTCGCTTGCTCGACTATTTCGCTTAGTACGCAAGTTCTCTTCCTCATTATGTTTGTCTAAGCCTATGTACCAAGGCACAAAGCGTTCGGGAGCCAACAAAGATATTCGAGATGACTTCTTCTGATGAACCTAGGACAGCCAAGCTTGCAAATCTTTGGGTTCACAAAGCTTTTCGTGCATTTTTTTGTGGCAGCTTCTTTACTTAACTCAGGTTCGTTCCGTTAGGACACCACCGCAAGCAACATTATTTGTCTGTGTGTCGCTTCCGCTTGCTACACAAGCTGTGTCATAGCGGACCGGCGACGGTGCCTACGTTTTCATGTATGTCGCTTGCTCAGCTATCTCGCTTAGTACTTCATGCGGATAATGTTAGGAGACGCCATACGGCTGGCGAGTTCGGCGAGGTTCCGTTGGAGTGGGCACTCCTAGGCACTCGCGCGCAGTGGGCGTGCGACCACCCGCCTCCCCGTGCTACAGCAGACGATGCGTCCGCCTCTCCTCCACCGTTACGCAACGAAGGCAGCATTGACGAGCTGGTCGACGGCGGTGACCAAGTCGGCAGCGACGAGAGCACAAGGGCGTCAAGATGAATGATCAGGCATGCTGACGTCAAAGTCGGTGGGATACATGCACGAGTGCAGCGGTCGACACGGACGCGGGCAGCTCGCACGGCGACGTCGACGGTCGACTTCGCTCCCCGCAACGGAGCGGAGTCAGGCCGGGCTCTTCAACGCACGTGTCGGCGGGCGGGATCGCGTCGGCGTACAGCTACTTGAAATTTACGACGGACAAGATTGATGTGCCCGTGCTTCTGGTGGGTCGACATGATCTTCTCATGTGGAGGGAGTCGATCGAGCCTCAGCTGGAGATTGTCGGGCTGAAGTGCTTCGCCGACGGCAACGTAGAGACGTCAGATGTGGTTGTCGTTGAGCTGCGGGCGGAATTCCGCACCGCTCACCTGCTGACCTACCTGGTTATTTCTTGATGCTGCTCGCTGATGGTGCAGATTGTCGTGAAGTCGGGTCGACTTCTGCTGGACTCCGGCCATCAGGCATGGCAGTTCATCCTGTCTTCGTACTAGTCTACCACCAACTTGTACATGGGTCAGGTGGGAGCACCTGACTCACCTTAGGATGGGCGAGCAGAAGTCAGCGACAGACTACTGCAACCGTGTTCGACAGATCCTGGCCGACATGCGGATGGTCGGCATTGACTATTCGACGGTGTCTTAGCATCACGCACGTCGTGAAGGGTCTTCCGTCGGGCTTCAACATGATGCTCCGGATGATGATGATTCGCCAGTCGCTAAACGAGGACACGCTGACCTCGCACATCAGCAAGGACGAGGCCATGCAAGAGGTCAGGAGGCCCATGATGCTGCTTCCGTAGGCGAATTACGCTACCCCGAAGAAGCAAGGTCGTCAACAGGGGCAGCGTGGGACGTCGAGCGGAGATGGTAGCGGAGGTGAAACGTCGGCGTCCGTCGCCGACTGGTCGAAGTTGGCATGGGACATCGGTCGAAGAAGCGATGGTCGACGACGCGAGTGCTGGATCTATGGCAACCCGACCACCTCTTTTTCGAGTGTCCCGATTGCGAAAAGTCCGAGGATGAAGACAACGGAAGCCACATGAAGTACGATGGTGGTCGTTGATGTCGAGACAGCCAGTCGCGAAAGGAGAAGTAGGCGTCGAAGTCGACGTCGTCGGCGAAAGACGCCGACTCCTCCTCCTGCAGCAAAGGTCGAGGCGATGGCGAGGCTGCGGAGATAACCCATACAACGGGAGCTCGACCACGGGATAGGCACGCTTGCAGTGGTGATCGTAGCGTTCCTTAATGTTTGCTCGTGTTCTCTCTACTTGCCCATTCATGGGAAAAAAAATGGCAAAAGTTTCACTAGTAAACATTGACAACAATGGTTGAACAAGGCAAAGCAATACAGACTACATCAGATGCTAGCAAGCATGCAAGTTGACCTCCAGCACAGCACGGTCGGCCGCGTTCCAATGCAGCAAGGTCGACCGCACTCCAGCAGTGCGAGGTGGCAACCTGCCAGCGTTGCAAGTCAACGGCGTGCCAACGCTGCTGCAGGGCGGCTGCACAGCGTTGCACCTGCATGACAACAGCGCACCCGCTTCGCTGGTGCTCGCAGCTGGTTGGCGTTTTGTGCCCCATCACGTGCACAACGCAGACGCTAAGCCGACCACGTGCGCACGATTGCACCTGATCCGCCATGTCGACCTTGGGATACCACGTCCGAGGTCAGCTTTGCCTGAACCACCTGGGCGACGATTGCACAGCTCCGCAGATCCACCTCGCCCGGGTAACTTGATCGACCGAGCAACCAGGTCGACGCCACCAGGCCGGCATCCTCCCAGGTCGACTCCCTCCCTTGTCGACCTCCTCCCGTTGACCACAGCGGATCTGGGCCGCCGACTTCACAAGGTCGGCGACATCCCTAAGTTGAAGTCGGCCGCTAGCGCCCGTCGTCGGCGGCTTCGTAGTGGCCCCGTGCAGGTTGACCGACATGTCAACCTGCGCGCTCATGTCGATGTCGCCCACTGCAGTTGGTAGGTTGCACTCTCTGCACGCCCGACTAAGAAGTCGGCTCCACCCAAGCGAGGACGGGCCAACGCACAATTGCGGTTGACAGAGGCGTCGTGCTCGATGGTCGACGTTGTGGAGTCGACCGTATCGTCGGCATCGGAGATTGGCGAGGACTTCAAGGCGATCGCGGCCGCTATGCAGGCGAACTTTATGGTGGTGCTGGTGGCTGCTCTCACCATCTGATGGCGACAAAGGAGGCCTTTGTCAGAATCCCAGACACTAACCACTGGGATAAAAGGATTTGTTTGTGTAGCGGGTGAGTGCACCCATAACCCCCCAGGCCAACCTGCCTGTAACCTTTCCCTAGGATCAATCGGGGATCACCAGTGGACATCTGACACCCCCCGCACTGGGATGCCCGGAGTGCACACACTGGAATTCGAACCCAAGACCTTCGCCTTGATACCATGTCAGAATCCCAGCCACTAACCACTGGGATAAAAGGGCTTGTTTATGTAACGGGTGAGTGCACCCATAACCCCCCGGGCCAACCTGCCTGTAACCCTTCCCTAGGATCAATCGGGGATCACAAGTGGACCTCTAACAGCCTTGTCGTCATGCAGCCTAGGGGCGACGTGCGCCACGTGCGTGGCTTCAACGAGGCACTAGAGATCGTCGAAGGCCGTGGCACCGTCACTCTACACATGGAGGCCGGGAAACAGGTCCTCATCCTCGATGTGTTCTATGTCCGGGGAGTGCAGGCGAAGCTGCTCTTGGTCGCCCATCTGAAGGACAGCGGCGTGAGACTGCAGAACGCGGGCGACGAGATGCTGCTCGTGTCGTGTGCGGGCGAGGTGCTCGGTCAAGCACGCTACCGTACACTGGCTGCGTTCTCTGCACAGACTTTCGCCCCTGCTCGACGAAGCCGATGTCGATCTCGACGGAGGTCGTGACTCGGCGGACGATTGTTCCACGACGGCAGACAATTGCTTCTACGACAAAGTAGACGCCGAACAGCACGTGAAGCCCGAGGACGTCGGCGTCGACACGATCAAGAGCTTGGCCTTGATACCTTATCAAAGCGTCGGCAGATGTCAACTTGTCATGTGTTTCGTGCGTCAAGCCGTGAGTTAGGCACATTCTATGAGGGTGTCCTACTTCAATACCAACCGTGCTAGGCAATCTGCTTTTAGTTTCGAATAGGCATTTGTATCACAACCGTTACTAATCATTCTTCCATTGTTCACATTCTGAAAAGCCTGGTCTGTAACCTCCACTCATCTGTAAAGGTATGTTTGTACGCCGCTATTAGGGCATGTTCCTAAGGCTCCTTACCGTATCAGGGATACCTCGTATCGGCTTCGCATTTTTGCCTGGTAAAATTTGACGCAAAGGTATTTGGGTTTAGGGAAATTTCAGTGTGCTATGACGCGAGCCTGATAAAAGGTTGACTTGATAAATAAGAACATGCCCTCAGACACATCTTGACAGTGTTGTGTGGTTAAATATGTTTCAGTGTAGACAACTTGCTATACTGTACGGTTAAACGCGAAGGTGACAACAGGTTTGCCTGACAAGGGGTTGTAACAACACGTTGTAACACATTCGCATAACCACCATCAACTATACACCCGCATACATCATCATCCTTGCTCTCCCAGTCATCCGACCTACATCCGGCATTGCTCACTCCCACAGCTTCTCCACTTCCTAGCTGCACATGCTTGCTGTGATATACAATGCAACAAGCTTCTGCCCATCGAGCTGCCTGCACCCTGAAATGTAACCCAGCCTGCGCAAGAACCAAGCCTACCAAGCCATTCACCCACACCTGCACTGCACACGACTCACACTCTCACCCTCACTCCTCCACTCTCTCACTCTCTCCCACTCTCTCCCAATCTCTTCCACTCTCTCCCTCACACCACACCAATCAGCATCACTCCTTGCTGGCCATCTGCTCACTGAGCTCCCACAGCTTCCCAGCCAGCCCCTTGTCCTTGCTCAGAACCGCCCCTTGCTCTTCTAGACGCCTCAAGAACCATTTTTGAAGCGTATTAAAAACACACCATTCAGCATTACTCCTTGTTCGCCATCTGCTCACTCAGCTCCCACAGCTTCCCAGCCAGCTCCATGTCCTTGCTCAAAACCGTCGCCTTGCCCTCGGCTGCCCGCGCGTCTGCGTAGTAGCCCCCACTTGCACCCGCCACTGAGGGGTGCGCCGCCAGGAAGCATGAGGTGGCCGCACCCTGAGAGAAGGGAGGAGAGGAGAGTGGGGAGAGGAGGATACGGGGCGGTCAGGTGGAGGTGCAAGGAGTGTGTAAGGGTGGGGGGGGGGGGGGGGGGGGGAGCGAGGCACAGGGTGTGTGCCTCGAGGCGGCACGATGCGAGAGTGGCTTGAGAGAGAGAGTGTGTGAGAGTAAGAATGGGCAGGGGGGAAAGGTTGAAAGATGAGGGAGCATGAGAAGTAGCCCCACTGGGCTTTGTTGCAGGGAGTGTGCACATGAGCATGGGGATAAGTTGGAACAACCATGCATGGGAAAGTACGCACACCCCCAACCATGCATGGGTGCGTGCGGGCACCCAACCATGCAGCAGTAACAGAGGGCGGGTGGTGAGGTCAGGTGAGGTCAGGGTGAGGTGAGGTGAGGGGGAGGTGAGGTGAGGTGAGGTGAGTAGGGGTGAGGAGGGGTGAGGAAGGGTGAGGAGGGGGTGAGGGGTTGGTGAAAGCTGAAGGCAGCTCTTCTTCAATCACGTCAAATCGCTCTTGCAGCAGGGTTGGTTGGAGGCATATCAGTAGGGTGCAGAGTAATATAGAGTGTGTGCAGTGCGGTGAAGAGCTACTTTAACCACTCCCTAAGGTAATGTACGGCAAAGTGCAGTGAGGCGAGGTATAAAGTAGGTGGAGGTGGAGGGTACCTGAGGAATGGTCTTCATGAACCACTGGAACACCAGGCTGTACGCTCCCCTGGTGGTTGGTTGCACAACATGGCAGGGCAGCAGTGGACAGGCACAAGCACAGGACGAGTGGTAGTATGACAACAATGGGTGCTCAGCCAAGCCGTTGCAGAAGCAAGCTCCAAGCAGCGAGCAAGAGTTACTGCAAAAGAACAAAGCATGCTTGTGCCAAACAGCTTCCATCAAACCATCAGCCCCTCAGACGCCCCTCCTTCCCCCTCTTTCTACACCACCTAATTACCTAGGCCACCCCCATCAACTATGTCCCAGGGTGTGCCTTGTAGAAGACACACCGGACAGTCGCTTACGGCACTCTGTAGCGCGAAAGGCTTTGCCTCGTTCCTCAAAGCGATATTGGCTCCGCGGAACAAGTTCGACACACGTCGCACTTGCTTTCGCGGACTGGTCTAACAGACCAGTATCAACCCCTGCCATTTTCCATGGCGGCCCTGTATAAATGGCTCCGACCCAACTCGAACCAGGCCTCAGACCAGTTGTGTACATGGTAACTATCTAGTGCACTTGCATTGTCCCAAGATCTGGCTCACAGCTGGTTCACCCTGGTCCACAGACTACACTGCTTGGACCTCAGCAAAACCAACGGTTCTGCAGACCCCATGTGGCATGCCCTAACGCACTCTGCCCTTCCCACCCACCCGCCTACCCACCTACCCGCACAGCACACCCGCCCACCGCCCACACGTACGTCCGAGGGTTGTGCCAGATGGTCCCTGCGTGGCACAATGTGACGTGATAGGTTGGTGTCAATCACCCCCGGTGCAACGCGTTCACTGTCACTCCTGCACCCTCCTCCTGCTCGCATGGATCAAGGGAGAGAAGGGAAGGGGAGAGAGGGTAGGAGGGAGGGTGATGGAGGGTGTTGGCGAGGGAAGCAGGGGGTTTTTTCCATTGTTGAAGGATCGATCACCCATGGGTACAGAGCATTACAGTCAATACCTGCACTGAGGTTTCAAAACAAACAAAAAAAAATCATAAGGGAGAGTGGGGAAGAAGAGGAAGAGATTTTTGGTGAGGAATTTGAGACGTAGCATGAATAGTGCTTTTTGGGCGCGTTTCCCCCTCCTGAATGCTTCTTCCCTTCCCTCCCACTAATGCACACTCTCACGCACACATCCGCACACATACATACCCACCCACCCCACCCAACTACACTCACACACACACCCACATCACTCACACAACACCCACATACCCCACTCCTTCATACACACCCTCCTCTCCCACAGCCATGCACCTTGAGCCGCCGGTGCGAGCTCCCGTGCGTGCAGGATATTAGCGAGCTTGACTGCCCGTACGCCCTCACCGGTCGTACCCCTCCTTGGCGTTGATGGCGTCAAGCGGAGGCCGCCTCGTTACGGGAACTGGTGCGCGGCGGAGGACACGATCACGATGCGCCGCCTCTGCGCCCTCCTGCTTGGCAGTTTCCTTGAGCTTCGGCAGCAGCAGGTTGGTCAACAGGAAGTGGCCTAAAGGGGGTACGACAGGTGCGATTGCAATTGGGGTGGGGGGTGTGTGCAGGGGAAGGGGGGAAGAGGGTGAAAGGGAAAGAGAGGGGGAGGGGGGCGGAGGGACTGAAGAAAAGGGGGAGAGGGAGGGCAGTGGAGGAGTGGTGCGATCAGCCTGAGAGCTCCATGAGCTTAGAATGCCAACAAATGCACTCGAGCCTAGAAGAGAACAAGCCAACTGGTAGACTCTGCTTCACTCCCACCAACTCCCATTCTTCCCTCACACTCCACCCCGCCACCCATGCTGTGCGCATGTAATCTGGCTTGCTTGCTCACCCACGTCATTGCTGCTCCCCTGCACTCACCCTCATGGTCGCTACTCCCCTACACTCACCCACGTGGTTGCCTCCTAGCACTCACCCACGTGATTGGTGCCGAACTGGTTCTCATGGCCGTCCGCAGTGAGCATGAACGGGCATATCATCACGCCCGCATTGTTGCTGCCCGGGGTGGGGTGGGATGGGGAGGGGTTGGTTGAGATTGGGTGGGCCGTGGTGGGATTGGTTGGGCAGGCGAGTGGGGGGTTGTTGCATAGGAAGTGACGAAGGGAAGGGGACGGTGGGGTGGGTTCGGGGAGAGGGGGAAGGTCTGAACGAGAGGAATAAATAAGGCGAAACAGTAGAATGACTAGCATAAAGGGTAGGTAGGCAGGGAAGCAGGGAGGGAGGGAGCGAGGGAAGGAGGGAAGTGTGTTGTGATGGGGCACGGGGCAGCATGGCAATGGGGCAGCATGGCAGTGGGGCAGCATGGCAGTGGAGCAGCATGGCAGTGGAGCAGCATGGCAGTGGAGCAGCATGGTAGTGGGGCAGCATGGCAGTGGAGCAGCATGGCAGTGGAGCAGCATGGCAGTGGAGCAGCATGGCAGTGGAGCAGCATGGCAGTGGAGCAGCATGGCAGTGGAGCAGCATGGCAGTGGAGCAGCATGGCAGTGGAGCAGCATGGCAGTGGGGCGGCATGGCAGTGGGGCAGCATGGCAGTGGGGCAGCCAAACGAAGAACGAACGTGCGCACCGACTTGAGCGA